CAGTTTGGTGTTCTCTGTGTTCCTGTTCTCCTGAGAGTTTTTGAGCTGCCCTGCCAGCCTTTTTATTTTATTAATAAATCTTTTGTTAAACTTTGGATTTTTGCCTGCGCCCTGGGTTTATCCTGCCTGCACCTCACACACAGTTGGCAAAAAATAATCAATAAAACACAATATTAAACATTCATCAATGCAACATCCACATTGCAAATACTGGCAATCATTAAAACACGAACTGTAGGTTAATCAAACTGATCCCTGCTACCCTAAATTTAAGCAAACACTTTAGTGGACGGCAACCATATTGTTGAAGTGCATGGAAAGTGTTGCTAGCATTACATAAGCAAAAGCGAAGCAAAAGAGAATAATATATTGCAATGATCACATACAATATTCCAACATCGCAGGATTGAACAATGTTTTATTGTTTTCAAAGGTTTGGCCAAAACCACTGTAAAACTACTGAACTAAACTTAGTCTAAAACTCTGTGGCATGGGAAATATTAGGTCTTTAATGTCAAATAGAAAGTTGAAAAAGCTCTGGTTTGCATTCAGGAGTGCATAACATTTAAACATACACAGAGGAAAATATCCTTTGCTCTCATAACCCAGCTTTTGACTACTGACTMTTACACAACATTTAAAGGTCAAGGTAAGTAAAGATTTCCTACTTTTCCTAACTCAAAGGTCAGGCTTTGCTTAAAAGCGCAGTTTATTAAAAGCAAAAATCTACAATGACAGAATTMTTGATTTGTAAAGAACTTACCCAAATATGTTTGGTTAAATTTTTAAACAACTTGAAACATGGATAAAGATTTTTACTTTAAATGCAAAACAAATATTAGGGGTGTATAAATCCTTGCCATTTTTTAATGTAGATCCAGAATACACATTTCTTGGACAAAGGAATAAGAGAAGACACTAAAGATGATTTTAGATCACAGAAGTGCAAAAATAATGGGGAAGAAATATTGCMTGTGCACATTCCAAGCAAATCATTTGCTCAGAATTGGACACAGAAAGAAACACGCTCTCAGCMCCACAGAGCCAAATATAATTCAATGAATAATGCTTGTGCATGACACTTACTGGCTCTGTCAGCTCCAGAACATTAGCCACATACGTGATGGGACTGCAGTCACGGGTATTTCCCACAAGTGTGCACGGCAGAAACATGGGACCCAAGTCATCCCCATCCAGAACATCCACAGTCAGGGTTGTGGTTGCTGTTCGCCGATCACTCAGATTGGGGGCTCGGTCCTGAAAAGAGAAAAACACTTGATTTTATTTTTGAAATGTGTCACATTCTCAGTAGGTTTAATTGAGGGCAGCTGGATTTCTTTATTATTTCTCACTACCATTAAAAGTAGGCAGTGCTGTAATTGCCTGTGTCTGTGTGCACTGGTTGGTTTGTCTGTTAACAAAATATCCAATGATCCACTGGAAGAACTTAAATGAATCTCCTATATTTATTAGTGACTTTGCTATTTGGTGATAACACAAAATCCATGCTTGGTAATGCTTTCTTTTACGGTACCCTTATTACCATGTAATTATAAGGTAATAAAAAATGTAATTAAATGTAATTACCACCTTATTACCATGTAATTATGTGGTAATTACGGTACAAACAAAAAACTACTGTTCGTAAAACTACCTTTATTTGGTAACTACAATCAAATTACTATTCAATAGTAACTCAACACTATATTTAAAACCAAAATAATGCAACTGCATTTTGGGGTT